TGTGGAGCGGTTCTTTAAATCATTTGTGAGGATGAAGTATAAAAGGCAGGTAGAGGATTTACATACTGTAGCAATAACCATGACCAGCTTGGAGAATCCCTGTACTGGAAGTGGAGTGAAATGTGAGGCACTATCTGCTCTGACCAACCTGCAAACCGGCAGACTGTAACGCTATCGATTTTCTTTTTCATAGAAAAAAAAGCTGAGATGAAGAATTAAAGAAGCACTAAGCTCCCTGTTTTTGTTTCTTGAGATGAATTCATGGAATATTATAGAATATAACAAAAAGCTAGAACTTTATTTTACAGGGATCATTAGTATAGACAGGGTAGTTCCTCTTTAACTCTAATAAATAATAGTAAATATGGAACAAAACACACACCTCATGCTACACTGTCACATGTCTTAATCATACACATCAGCAAATTCTCAACGTGACTTCCTGTGACAAAAAATAAAGGTTTGGCAGACTGAGCTACAGGATTAAGTGCTAAAGATGAATGAAAGCGAAATACAATCAAAGAAAGGTTCACAGTAGATTGACTGAACCGCAACTGTCATTTAATATTTATAAGATCCACTGATCTAAAGACCTACAGCGTTATTTTTACAGCCATCTGATGCACTTTTTGCCCTTTAACTGAAGTGATAATATGATAACTGATTATAATTTCAGCTTTAATGCACATATAGGCAACCATGTGCCAAAAATGTGCAAAATTCCATTCCAACTCAACATTAAATCTGACTTTACTCATTAGTAGAACAGTGTCAATTATCAATGAAATCAGCTGCATGTCTTTGGAGTAACATCATGCATAGTTTAACTTGGCATTCCATGGTCTGTCCAATAAGCTAAAGCACCATTTATAATGACAGCACAGCTAGTATAATCTATGTGCTTTCTGTGTACCATGTCGAGATACTAAATTAGTAGAGAGATTAGTTGATCAGTAATAGATTAAATTTCACAAAAAAATTGTTCATAAATTATACTTGCCCAAGGATCTACAAGTGATGAAACAGTTTTGCTTAAACTGTTGCTGCTTAAGACATAGTTTAATGTCTAATGTAACATAGTGTTAAAGTATCTTAATATCAATGTATCTATAGACACTGTGGGTTGCTTTCCATGGAGTCTGTCATGATGAATCGCCATATTTTTACAGCAGCCCAGAACAGACAAACCAAACACAGACTGTACATAGGGCCTATTGTAAGTTTCCCGACCACTGTAGTTTCTCCTATACCCGTAAGCTGGCTCTCATTCGCAGGTCACCAAATCCGACGTGTTCATTACTTTAGGTCTACAAAAACTGTAACTAAAAATGAAAATGTGTTATTAAAGCTTCAGGGAGCCACTGCAGAGGGACTAAAGAGCAAGGTTGCCTACCCCTGGTCTAGGAGTTTTAGTAACGCCACATAGTTTTCCTGTGTCTCCTTGTTAAAGTGTCTGAGTGAAACAAGCAGCAGCATTCCACTTAATCTGCATTGTAGAATGTCACAAATCGCATTGTTACGCCTCTGTGGCTGGTGATTGTGCAAATTCACGTGCCACTATACAAAATCACCAGCATTTCACGTATTAGATGTTCACTATATTAGATGCTTAAGTCATCAATTAATGCCTAACATAGTGTTAAAGTATCTTTAATATCAATGTTGAAATGACCGACTATAATGTGAAAAGTTTGCTAGTTATCCACTCCACCTGAGAAAAAGCATCTAACTTTGAGCTTTTCAGCTCATTGTTGTGGTTTGTCAGTCCATATGGTTGAATCCCAAAAGCTCTCACCAAGCCTCCCATTTAAATCCTCAGGCAGCTGTTCCCAGCAAACAAACTTGTACAGGGTGAATGTAATGTAGTATGCTGTTTTCATACAGCACTATTCTTGACAAGTCACTGTAAAAGCACTACTTTAATGAATTAAAAAAATGTGCTATGGCAGTAATTACTAACAAAAAAAAGGATAGCATACAATTAGGCAGAAAATGAAACATAACTGTTAAAAGTGTTTTAAGGCCGGTGCTATGAGGTGTATGCCAGTGGATGTGTTCCTGTTTACAGAATTTGTCTGGGTCAGACACAAAGTAATACAGTAAAGTTTCACAACTTTACTGTATGTGTATGTCAGACACCAAATGCACTTGTAATAAGAAACAAGACAAGACAAATAGAAAGGTCAGAAGCCATTTCAATACACAGTGAAAGCCTATTATTTGCAGGAAACAGGAAATGAAAAACATCTGGTTTCATTCTGACTTGCATCTCAATAGTAGGGCGCAATTGTTAAGACTCTTATCTTATCTTATCTTATCTCTTGCTTATCCAGTGTCTAGTGTAGGGGGGCCATAGCATTATGTTCTATTTGTTTTTTAAGTAGTCAGGATATAGGAGAAAAAAGCTTGAACAGGTTAAAGGGCCATAACCTATTCTGTTTGGAGCGGTTGCTGAAGAGCTTTGTATTCATGAGCTAATCTGTTAGAGAAGTAAATTCAGTAGACAAACAATTAGAAAATATAGAACACTGTGAAACGAATAATGTGACTTTTCTTGGCAGTCCAGCAGTTCAGTACTGTACTTCCATTAAGTTGGCGGGCTTGAAATTGAAGCAGCAGAGGTTGACATATCCTGACTTTTAGCCCTTTGTATTTGTCACAACACCCAAAACACTGGATCTTACAATTCCTATATTGCAACTGCTTAGTGTGATACATTAGACCCTCCCTGCCTAAGAAATACCCACACTTCTTATACAATTGGTGGATGGCCCCTTTGGTTTGCTGTTCGGCAGCTTGTTCTCACATAGTCCTATAGAGTCACTGCAAGTCTAAAGTTGATTATTATATTGTAGCTAAAATGAGTAGAAACCAGATGGAATGTTTACATTACTCGTTCCGTTGTTTATACCTGGCATTAACATGCGTCTTGAGTGATCCAATCACATGAAGATGGCGGTATGTATAGGTGTGAACGCGCCCAAGATACATTAAGGAAGCACAGAGATATGATTGCTCAGACAACATTCAGAGGTGGTCTGGGCCGCATGTGACCACATTCGTTTGGCAGTATATGGACAATGTGTCCTGGGCCACACTTAAGGACTGCCTGCTTAGTTGGGCCCCAGACCCTGGGTCAGGCTCACAGGATAAAGCTGACGGTTGTGAGGAAAAAAAAAATAATTTATTTTTTTTATTGATTGGCACTTTGATACTTCATTTTCTTTATTTTGTTTTTAAATATAGAACATACCTCTGTGGCCACAGGGCAAATCACTCTTTGCTGGAACTGCTAACAAGTCATCAGAAATGTGACATCAACACTTTTGAGGGGTCACAAGCCAAAAGCCTTCTTAATTTAATCTTTATTCAATGCAATAGTTATTAAATGCTCATCAAGTTCTTAATGTAAATTATAAACCTAAAAACTAACTATAGTAACTATGGTTGTCAGGTAAAATATTGGAGTAAAAAGTACATTATTTCCAACTGAAATTTTGTGGAGAAGACATAAACTGAAAATACTCAAGCTAAGTAGAACTACTTCAACATGTACTAACTGTACAATTGAGAACAGTAATCGACTAAGTACAGTGTTTGAGTAAATGTGCTTATGTGCCTTCAACCACTGCATGGATGACTGTTCCCCCAACAAGAGAAAGACTGACACTGCAGTCTGGTGACTGCTCCTCAAATGGGACCAGGATTATCTCCAGGTCTGTTGCTCAGAACTGAGTCAGTCTAAGCTGTGTTTTCTTGTCACAGTTGACATGTTCTGGCTCGGCTTCAGTTCATGCAGAATGCTGCTTACCTGTCACAAATACATAATACACACATAATACTATATCCTTTTTACAGGTTTACTGTTTTTAATTGCATTAGTCTAGGATAGGGATCAGCAACCTTCACTAGCTATTTTTGGCCAAGAAAACCAAAACCAAAATCTGTCTAGAGCTGCAAAACATATTGAGCCTTAACATGCTAATTTCTCAAAGCAGATCAGGCATACCAGCAAGCAGCTCCTATGGAGATTCAAGACTAGTAGTAACTGAGGTTCTGCAGGATGTAACATATGAGCGCATTTTAGTTGATGAAATGTTGAAGGTCCAGTGTGTAACACTTAGGAGGACCTATTGGCAGTTATTGGAATATAATACTCATGGTCTACAACAATGGTAACTAAAAATTAAAATGTGTTATCAAACTTACAGGGAGCCACTGTAGAGGGGGTTAAGAGCAAGGTTGCCTACCTCTGGTCTAGAAGTTTCAGTCTGCACTCAACTCAACCCCTGCAGACTGCAGTCTGAGACTCTTAGTATTCAATGAGAGAATTCAGCTAATGAAGTTATCCAGTCCATGCATCATTCTAGCCTCCTTAAAGAGATTATCTTTACTCTAAAGGCATATATTGTTAGTACCAAGATTAGTACCATCAAAGCAAGAAAAAAAAGTGCATTGCTTCTGGTTCCAGGGCTCTATTTTGCATTGTAACCTGCAGGACATCAAATGTGGTGTGTGTGTGGTGTGTGTGTGTGTGTGTGTGTGTGTGTGTGTGTGTGTGTGTGTGTGTGTGTGTGTGTGTGTGTGTGTGTGTGTGTGTGTGTGTGTGTGTTTGCATCTGTGCGTATGCATTTGTGTGACGTGTTAAGATTCAGGTGGTGAACCGAGGCCTTTATAAATAGTGATGAGGACAGATGGAATTCTCTGTGGTGAACTGTGAAGGAACAAATGTGCAATCATATGTCCAAGCTCAGGATGTTATAGAAATACTCATCCCGCTTGAAATCAGGATTGCTCTTAGCTGTATGCATATACATTCACAAGATATTGTTAATAATTTCCAAGTAGGATATGTTGGTCTTTATTAAGCTATTTTCTTATTCAAACTCCTGTGGCTTTATAGCATGCTTGTGGTGCAAACAATCCTTAGATTTGAGATTTTCTTTCATGACTATCTAAGAGATTCTTTTTGCTTCTTTGTGATCTTTTTTGACTCCCAGATCATAACCATGAGAGATTATGTTCCAAAAATTATTGGCTCTGAGTCTTTTGAACGTTACATTGGATCCTATGGGGGATATGATCCAACTACAGACCCGTCAGCCTCCAATGTGTTTGCCACTGCTGCATTCAGGTTCGGCCATGCTACCATCTCTCCGATCCTCAGGAGACTGAACGAGAGCTTCCAGGAACATGAGCACTTCCCCCACTTGAGACTGCACAACACTTTCTTCAGTCCATGGAGAATAGTCAAAGAAGGTCAGTACACTCTTCTGAAGCTGCCTATAGGAAGTAATAACATATCCTTCAAGCACACTAAACACCATAAAAAGTGGAGGGAATGAAAATATATTCTACTTAGGTCAGCTTCAGCATTGAATGTCTGTCAGTGTAATTATTAGTTGTATGCAAGTGACTCATGTAAGTTAGACCACTGAATAAAAATATTCTTTACTCTATTTCGTCTATAGAGTATGAAAGCCTGCATCAGTATGTCATACCTAGTACACGATACGGTGCTCCTAGACCCAGGAGACTCATCAGAAGGTGTAATAACCCATCTAACACTGCAGGGACCTTTTCCATTAATTATGAGTACATTACTTATTTATTCCTTATTTTATTCTTTATACTTTTTTACTTTATAATATAGTACTTTATCTGTCATATACAGATGCACTGTTAAAGGCATACTTATAGCTAATATATTAAAAGCATTTTTAGATCTGCATCTTATTGTTTATGTTGTTTGTTTATGGGTCCCGCTAACTCTGCTGTAGGGATTCAGAAAAAACAGACTGTAGCTAAACAAGATATATTGTGGCATTGGTATGATCGTCAACAGCTTAAAACTACAATAACAGATTTTTTTCAGCCACATGCGGGCAGCGGACACAAGTTTAAACACTATAATTGAACTTGAGATACACTATATGGACAAAAGTATTCGGCCACCTGACCATTATACCAACAGGGACTGTAATGACATTATATTCAAATACATATACTTTAATATGGAATTGGACCCCCTTTTGCAGCCATAACAGCTTCCACTCTTCTTGGAAGGCATTTTGGAGTGTTTCTTTGGGAATTTGTGCCCATTCATTCTGTAGAGCATTTATGAGGTCAGGCACTGATGTTGGACGAGAAGGCCTGGCTCGCAATTTCCATTCCAGTTCATCCCAAAGGTGCTCGATGAGGTTAAGGTCAGGGCTCTGTGTGGGCCAGTCAAGTTCTTCCACACCGAACTCATCAAACCATGTCTTTATAGACCTTACTTTGTGGGCTAGGGCAAAATCATGTTGGAACAGAAAAGGGCCTTCCGCAAACTGTGCCACGAAGTTGGAAGCATAACATTTTCCAAAATGTCTTGTTATGCTGAAGCATTAACATAGCCCTTCACTAGAGATAACCACCAAACTTCACAGTTGGCACAATGCAGTCAGGCAGATAACGTTCTCCCGGCATCAGCCAAACTCAGACTCGACCATCTTACTGCCAAACAGAGAAGCGTGATTCGTCACTCCACAGAACACAATTCCACTGCTCCACAGTCCAGTGACGATGTGCTTTACACCACTCCAGTCGACACTTGGCATTGGACTTGATGTTGTAAGGCTTGCATGCAGCTGCTCGGCCATGGAAACCAATTCCATGAAGCTCCTGCCGCAAAGTTTTTGTGTTCACATTAATGCCTCTTCAGCTATGGAATCAGCAGAGCGTTGGCGACTTTTACACCCAATGCTCCTCAGCAGTTGTTGACCCCGCTCTGTAATTTTACGTGGTCTTCCGCTTCGTGGCTGTGTTGCTGTTGTTCCTAAACGCTTCCACTTTCTTTTAATCACTTACAGTTGACCATGGAATATCCAGAAGGGATGAAATTTCACAAACAGTCTTATTGCAAAGGTGGCATCCTATCACAGTACCACGCTTGAAGTCACTGAGCTCTTTAGAACGACCCATTTTCTATCACAAATGTTTGCAAATGGAGACTGCATGGCTAGGTGTTTGACTTTATAGACCTGTGGCAAGGGGTCTGATTGGAACACCTGAAATCAAGAATTAACATGTGTGGCCAAATACTTTTGTTCATATAGTGTATGTATAAAAACTTGTTAGCTTACAGTTGCTAATTTACACAACCCTAGTTATGGAACAACAAGATCATTTGGAGTCATGATTGTGTCCGCCTCTAAGTCCAATAGTAGTCTGCAGTCAGCGACCAGATCGCATCTGTCTGCTGTTTAGTGTCGTGTAGTTCACTACCTGCTCAACACCAAACAGTGGGTTTCTAGATCTTTTCACTAAAAACAGCAGCTTACTGCAACTGCAAACTACACCATGAACACGGAGAGTAAACCAAAACAGTAAAGTTGCAACTGGACAGCTAAACCATGAACTGAAACTCTATCTAAAGCTCTGTATGACAATGGGAGTTGCAGAGATAATTCTCAATTACTATGAGCAACCCCTTTCACACTGTCACATCGTTTCTTACATTGTTATTGTATTTTTTTTATTAAACCATTACAAAACTGTATACAGCTGTGCTTATCAGTCCAAACTGATTGAGTTGATAATCCCCACTAACTCAGAGCTCACAGTGTAGAGTAACCCATATTTAACTATGACACGTCTGTGCAAGATCATCCAAAGGCAAGTTAATTACAACTGGTTCATCCACACAGCCAGCCTCAAGTTGCTTTTACGGAGGCCCTGCTGAATCACTGAGCTCCTCACTCTGTGGGTCCAACATCCTTCCTAAAAAATGTCATGCTGGCAGATTGTTTCCTTGATCCCATTCCTTTCGCTGACATAAGCTCACCACCATACGTGAGGGTTAGAGCAAAGTCTAGTCTTCTCAGCTTCACAGCTCAGCTCTCACTTCATAGTTCTACATTACTGTAGTCACTCCCCCAATCAACAGTTATTCCCAAAAAAGAAGTTGCCAAATACCTAAACACACATTCGTAGTTCAGTCCACCCTTTTCTTCGACAGAACCACTGGTCTTAGAGGTGCTGCTCCTTATCATATCTTCAAAATTGGTTTGAAGTTCATGCTAAAACACAAGAAAAGTTGTAAATACTATTCTGTTTCCCTGTGCTGTAGGTGTCAGGCTCTTTTTTTCGTGCAGTAACTCAATTTACAATGTAGCTGACCTTCAGATTGAATAGGATAGGTTAAAAGTGCCAGCACATACATACCTACACACAATGATTCTTCAGTCTCTATAGATGTATTTTCTATCTCTGTGAATACATTGATCACTCTAAAGATCGTTAAGTTCACAATTAAATGGATTATACTACCTAAAAGGAATAGTTTGTGTATTTTGAAGTGGGGTTGTATGAGGTCAGTGTGTAGATAGCCATCAGCACACCCCCAGTATGGAGAAGCAGACAGGGATCTGCACAGCTGTGGACATATTTTAGCCACATAAAAAAGGTCAACTTCAAAAATGTTGATATCATGTCATCTCATCAAGTGTTTGGCACAAACCATAAAACTTACGTATTGCTACGCATAAGCCCAACTGCACCACACAATATATTATTCTGCAGTTTATGTGGCTAAAATAAGTTTTTTGGTAACTCCCCCCATCTACATTGCTTATAGCTTCCTGCCGGCTCCTTTAAACTGGGATAGCTGTCCGAGTCTGCTTTTGGGACACGTGCAGGACAAACACCCACCCCCTCAATGCTTAACAACCCTTTAAACACCAACACTAAATGGATTGGAACCTTTGGCTGAGGTCTTTACCTTGCTTCCTTAGCTTCTGATACAGAAGAATTTGTTCAGCTGTCTCACCACCGAGCAGCAAGTGTATTACTTTTATGAATCTATGTTTTGTTATGATAAACAGAGTATTCATCCCCAGCAGTCCATTCATCCTGTTTGCTCAAATGAAATTGTTTGGATGCCAGTGATCCAAGGGGAAGCAGCAAATCCAAGCTTAGGAGTAATATACAAACCTGTTTTCTGGACAGCATTAAGAAAGCATACCATTCAGAAAAAAAAGCAACTATATATACTGTTTTACTAGCCTGTTTGGGATAGGGGATAACAGGCAGGCTGGACTGGTCAAAATTAGCATGCTGTCACATGACTGCTTAGTTTTGAATTGTTAAAAAGTTAAATGGAAACATATCTTCTTATTTGCACTTTGAGTGGCCTTGCATCCAACAGAATAAAACCAAAAAAAAGCTGTATCTTATATTGCTAATTTTGTGTGTAGGTGGGATTGAACCAATCCTGAGAGGTATGATTGGAACTGCAGCAACAGCTGTACGTGCAGACATGATGTTGACAGAGGAGCTTACAGAAAGGCTGGTTGTCCTAAATGTGCCACAGCACTTGGACCTGGCTGCACTGAACCTGCAGAGAGGACGAGATCATGCACTCCCAGGTAAGTGCCGGTCTGCGGGGCTGTACCATTCATTTAAGCCAGGTGACATCAAATGCTCTGTTGAACGTCAACCGTAAAACAGTTCCCTTGACTAGACCATATTATTAGCTTCCCTAAATGTCTGTCTGTCAACACCAACAGGTGATTTTTGTCTTAACTGTAAGCTTAGCTCAATATCAGAGTGATAATCCACAAAAACAGTTCAACTATCTCAACCCAGACACTGAATTGGCAGTGAGCTGCCAGTCACATCATTCAGACAGGTTTTCTTAAACCGAACTAGCAGTGAATAGCAGAAGCTATTCACAGTGATTTAAAATAATTATTCCACATTTTGGGAAATACACGTATACACTTTCTTTTTCAAGAGATACAGTTGCAATGCAATTAGTGTATTGTAGCTTAATGGAACTCCCCCGATTTTAAACATCAAATTATGTTCACAGGTCTTGGGGAGTACTACTGCATATCAAAAGTTGTATAAAGCCTTTTATGTCTTCAAAGGGAGCTGTGTGAAGTCTGATAAATGTTCTCAAGTAATGTCACTTAAGGCAGCGTGAGTGGAAGATCACAAGATTGAAAATGAAAGAAAGCTTGGTGTGTGGAGTTAGAAACACTGAGCTTACCTGACCTCTCTTAATTCTTGCTAGGAGGCGAGCGGCTCAGGGGTACATTAGCTGCTACCGCCATACAACACCCGACTCTCCAACCAAACTATTGGCTTCAAATTGCATTGTTGGTAATGTTGGTGCCAACATAAACTATACTAACTGATCCAATCACAATAACTACTGAGGCATATATATATATTAATTAAGATGATTGCTTTTGTCTCGTTGTAGCAATAATAATGGTAATAGGACCTTCTACAGTTGTTCTAGCCTGCGGTACATTGTGTGACATTTCTGAACACAGATCTCAAAACCACAATTAGACTATTAACGTACAGCTTTTAATCTTAAATACAGAAAGACAAGTCTGGCATATCAGAAATGAAAATGTATTAAACAAACAGCTCAAGATGTGAACACTTTAGGGTATATAATAATCCGATAACAGAAGTGGCTTCAGTGGTTTTATTTTAAATTACTATAAGCTCAAAACTTCTGTAAATGTTGGGCATAATTTAGTGGAACACCACACAGGTTATTAAACACTTTTAAAATCTCCAAAATGAAAGTGCTTAATTCAAACAAGGCAGCATGTTTTCAAAAAGAAAGTGCCCAATTCCAGTATCACATTGGCTCCGAAATTAAATAAAGTGCCCAAATACAAAAAGTACTATAATGTGATCTCCAAAACGTAATAAATGTTCACCATTCCAAAAGGACATTATTGTAAAATAAATAATACACAAAACAAGGAATTAAATACACTATATTCACAATCGACAAAGTGGCTATATCGCTAGTTTTTAGAATTGCCTTCTAGAACTACCAACAAGTCCACATTCTTTGGAAGGAGCTTCTGATTTGTTGACAATAAATCCTGCCTTGGAAAAAATGTGCTCAGAAGGTGTGGAGGTTGCAGGGGTCCAGAGTAGACGTTACTCGGGCCAGGGTCAAGTATCTGTCTTCGTTTCTTTTCCACCACCCTATGGTCCAGAGTCAACTTTGGTTCTGTCCTGAAGATAGTTTTTTATCTCTTCTGTGCTGCAGCATTTCCCACCTGATTCTGTGGAAACCCGATCTTCCTCGTCTCCGCACAGCTGTATAGTAATCCCCTTCTACTTGTCAGTTTTTGTTTTTTTTGATACATGTTCCTTCCCCGCAGTTGGGGATTCACTGGTGCCTGAGTTTGCCCTGCGCACACTCAGTTGGACTGCTGTGCAGAGACTGTGTTGGCCTCATCTCATTTTTCATCATCCAGAAAAGAGATCTGTTTGAAATGAGGGTGTATTACTGCAGCTGTAATGCAGACACTGCTGGTCATGATCAGGAGGTCTTTAAGTTCCCACCTACTGTCCGTTTCTTATATTAGCTTGCTTTTAATTTTTTTGGTAATGGGGCTGTCATCATCCGTAATTCGTCCCAGAAAGCACTGTGGCAAGTGGTTAGCACTGCTCCAGGAGCAACATTAAATAGATTGAGTTCTAATGTGAAGAGACTTCATGTTGAAAATTTCTGCAACTTCTGCTTTGTATGGTTTTCTGAAATTAGGGACCAGATGCGCGCAGAGGCATCGGCAACTTCACTGAGTCGCATAGCAATGTTTTTGCCGGTGTGCGTCTCCATCTGTTCCATTCTATTTTTTTTTTCTCAAGAATAAGATTTTGTATGCACGTTTTGCCAATATAATGAGGAGTCACAGTCATGACTTTATTCTAAGAGATGTCAACATCTGTGCTGTATTGACTCCAGGACCTTATTTTTTAGTGCGTCATACTAGTGGTTAATGTGTCTTCTCGCTTGCTGGTACTATAAATCCAGGTTCCAAACTTTTTGGGCCTTTTGTTACAAGCAAATGACAATTCCATTTGTGATATAGTTTTTCAGTTTTTATGAGCTGTCGCTGTTGGAGCAGTTATACATACAAATTGATTAGGCTATTTATTAGACCACCAAACATATTGAAATATGCCAATTCTGATATGTTCACACTCAAAACCTATCAAACATTAAGTACAAAAGTTAAAAGAACATCCTAAGCAGAAAACCTGAAAAAGAACTTATGCCTGCCATTTTTAGATGATATTCCATGTTGGTTGGTGAGTTGTGATAATCAAACTGCTGCAAGCAAAGTTTATATTTTGTCCTTTTTAACAAAATGCTGCCACTCCGATGACTTCTTCAATGTCATGTCAGTTAGTCTAAAGCCTGGTAATATGTGCCTAGCAGTTTCTCAACTCACTATTAGGTTGGGCGAGTTAAAAATTGTGAAAGGGGGGAAGTTTTGACTTAACCTACTGTCTTTTAAGTCTTATTATTCTAATAAGTAATAATTAGTCCTAATTATTAAAACAGAAACAATTTTTGTTTAGTAAAAATATATATATATTTTTCATAATTAATGTTATTTGTATATATTTATACAGACAAAAGAATATCAACAAACGAATCGATTGGCCAACCTGAGGGTGTCAGCCCTGCCTGGCAACCACACAATAATGACAATACTCCAAACAGTCACTATGTGAATAACATGTTATGTAGTGAGCTTTAGAAGTTCTGGCAGTTAGTTTGTTATCTTTGGACAGCTATCTGGTGGTTTTTCTGGTGTCCACTTAAGCTAAGCTTACCCTCTCTGGGCTCTAGCTTCATATTTATTGCACAGACATGGGAGTGGTATCAATATTCTTATGTAACTCTCAATAAGAAAGCACAATGTGACTGAATATGCTCATTATTAAATCATATTGTGCTGAAATTAAATTTCAGGATACAATGATTGGAGGACATTCTGTGGACTGAAAAGCATTAAGACACTGGAGGATTTCAAAGAGGTTGTCAGAGACGGCAGGGTCGCTGAGAAGATATTAGAAATATACAAACATCCTGACAATATTGATATATGGCTTGGAGGGCTTGTCGAAAACTTGTTGCCGGGCTCAAGAACCGGTCCCCTCTTTGCGTGCCTGATCGGAAAGCAGATGAAAACGCTCCGTGATGGTGATAGGTACATTTATATTTTTTTAATTTTAAGTTCTATTTATCAATATTGTGATCCTCACCATGGACCACATGTGCCATACATGCCAACATATCTTGGTCTGTTTAAGGACTGTATTAATCAAAATATTGATATTTTAAATGGAGATCATCTGTTTTTTTCAGGTTCTGGTGGGAGGCTGAAGGTATCTTCACCATGCAACAGAAGGCTGAGCTTTTAAAAGGTTCTCTGTCTCGGATCATCTGTGACAACAGCGACGTGAGAGAAGTCTCTCCTGATTCTTTCAGGTTTAGGAAATACCCATCTGGTTACATCTCTTGTGATCACATACCATCGATGAATCTGGAATCTTGGAGAGAGGAGAAGAGCCAAGGTGGGCCTGAGAAATTGTCATGTTAGTTAGTCCTAATTACTTAAGAAATTATACACATTCTTTTGAATTTTATTGTTCCAAAACACATTAACATGAAAAACCTTTATCACTCAATTCCAGACTTAGAACAGTGTGGCACTCCAAGAAAGATAAAGAATGGGGATTTTATTTTGTCCTCTACATCTGGTAAACTGGTTGCTCAGTACTCCTGTTACCATGGTTTCAAGTTAAAGGGTGCCGCTGCAATAGTTTGTGAAGGAAATCAATGGAGTGATCAACCCCCACAATGTACAGGTACAGTACATAACCTATTTTTGTCATGGATTTGTTTCATAACATTTGTTTGTAATGAATATGGCATGTTGTCTATGTGGTGTACTTGAAAGGAAGATTCCACTCTCAGCTGGTTAACAGTATATCCCAACTGTATGAACTGCTGCATATTGAAACATATACACATCATATGCAAACCTTGGAAGGATTTATTTGTAAACCACAGATGTGCCCCAGCACATATCTATCCTTGGACATGCACTTATGTTAGTACTGTTCATGTTTGACTGGAGCTTTACTGCTATCTGCTGGTACCAGTGGAGAAGGGGAAATGTGTTGGGAGTATGACTCCTTTTGTATGTGAACCCCTCTGCCAGTATATATGCAATTATTAGACCACATTTTATTAATTCAACCTGCACCAAAATGCACAAAGTCGGATGCACTTTGAATGCCGCCCATTTTTCATGTAGACAGGTTTTGAATGAGTTAACCACCTTTCAAGAAGTTATTTATGTCAGAGACATAAGCAGTGACCTGGTTCTTGTTTGAGTTAGGTAATCTATCACAGTGAACAGAATGTCTTCTCAAATGTTCTTAAAGTTTGATCATTGAGTGGCAATGCAGTTTAGAGCAAGGACTGTTTTAAAAACTTTCTCACTGGTGTGTTCAGGTGTTTGTGGGAATTTGGAAAAAAAATCACATTCATCAATCAATGTAGAAACCTAGGTGAGAAAACAAATCTAAGATATCATGATTTCCATATTTCATATGACTAAACCTAAATCCAAGAAAATCAGCTTCAATTTGTTCACAGATTTCTGAGAACACCTTCTAATTCAATGAGTCAGAAAGGTTTCCAATTATTATGAGTAAACTACACACTAAGAAATCAAGGTACAGCAATTGGACCTAAAAGGGTACAAGCATTGTACCTTTGAACATGGTACATTTACCTACCTTGTTTTCTGTACTCCGTCTCTAAGAGAACATTTCTGTACCACTGCCCATTAACAATTATCCACCAACTTTGAACACTTTTCAGTACCCTTGCATTGTATTGTTCAGCTAGAACTGATTTGTCCATAACAAGTGAATGCTGTAAGCTTCACTCGTGCCAACTACAAGTGGTTATTTCTCTGTGTGTATGAGAAATGGGATGTTAAGAGGTTTAATGATGTATTAGTTTTATTATTATAAATATTATATTATATTATTATTATTTATTGATGAGAAAACAATAACTGATTGACATTGTTGTCACTGAGATATGTAGGTGGGTCTTCATTATGTCAGCATTGTTCAGGCATCTAACGTCATTCAAATGTCACATGGTTTCATCTTTGAGCCATGTGATATTAAAATAACCATGTTGTTTGTTTACAGGGAATCATCACTAAGCTGTTGGCAATGCAGCAAATCCAGAAATGCTTCATAGGCAACTCCGTTAGGTAACCTGGTAAAGTGTGTATCATGTAACCAGGCAGAGTCTTTACCACAGCAGCCCCTGTTTTGCTGCATGTCCAACCTCTTCCTCTTCTGCCTTGCCTGTCTCTCTCCAGCTGTCATTATCTAAATTAAGCAGAAATGCCAAAAAATAAACTTAATATAAAGAAATACATCATAGTTTGTTCTGTTTTTGTATTTCTCATGATTTTGTTGATTGTTGTGTGTTTGAAACATGGAATTACTTTTTAAATTAAACATTGTTTTCAAAAATATTTAATGGTACCTCCTCATATTCTTAATTTGTTTAACATTTCGTAGACTTTTATTCTCTCGTTAATTGCAGTAAGTTGAATTGTGTTCAATAAAAATATATACACACTTAACTTTAAATCATAGCTTTTTTCTTTTTTCTACTTTTTTAATACTTACATTGCATAATTTTTAAAGTTCTTTTTGAGCACAGCTTTTACCTCTGTAAACAGGACATTTGTCATGACGAGAAATCGATATCAGCTTCAACCAACAACATGCACCAACAAATGAATAAATCATTATGATACTGTGATAGTTCTCAAAAGTATTAACCTATTATAGTTTGCTTACTTCAGAAAAGGCATTTTGAATAAAGTAGCAGCAACACCTATCACAATGAATACCCTTTTTCTTTTTTAAATCTGGCCAAATGAGTCATATGTGCCACCACTTTTCTGAGAACATAACAGCCCTACCTGTCTGCTTGCAGTGCAAGCTGAGAGCCAATTAACTTAGGCAATCTTTGGTTAGTTGTTTGAGGAAAGCTTATTTAAATTAAGCTTAAGCATTGTCCTCAGTGTTCTTTATTCTGGTACTAGCTACATCAAGATGGGTGCAAAACGAGATTTGCAAATTCCAGTCAGCATACCGTTTGTGATTATGCATACACCAGAAAAACATGTCACTTTTAATGAACTGTACTTGTATAACGCCTTTCTAGTCTTTTGACCACTTAAAAGACACTTCGATATGCAGCAGGTGGAGCCGGGGATCTAACTGCTAACTTTCTGATCAGTGGATGACCCGTTCTACCTCCTGAGCCACAGCCACCCACATCTGTCCAATGTACTAAAAGGGAAAGTTTAGGGTGCTCTCACACATGTAGTTTGGTTCATTAGGTGCAAGTTATACATTGTTGCATTGTAGTTCTGGTCCAGTTCATTTTCACACTGACTTTTACAAACCAAGAAGAGTAAACATGAAGTTATACAGACGGACAGGTAACTCATTGATTGGACTTTTTTGGCAATTGTCATCCTGCATCATCAGGACCCACATGGGATATCAAATTGCAGTGACTGACAGTAGGTCATGCACCACTTTAAATTATCAATGGGTATAACTATGTTCTTTGGAACTCACAAAGAACTAATTATATAATTAAATTGAAAACATAATTAGTGCCATTAGACTGCAAATGGTCCACATGTTATGAATAATGACTATTAAGAAGAGGCAGCGTAAAGAGGTGTTTTGTACAGTTCTAGGAGGTAGTAAATACTTGCTTTACTATCAGATGGAGTTATTTGACACTGAACTATGAACTTCAACATTGCACCTGAACAGGTTGAGTCAATCGAACTTGCAAGGTGACAGGGAGATTTACTATCTGTAATAACGGCATGTATAGATCATGTAAAGTGACAGCTTGAAAATGCAATTTTTAAAGAATGAACTGCCATATAGTTAAAATGTAGAAAAGAGTACCAATGCTAGACTGTTGAAATTATTTAAGAATATTCCTATAAAGACTCCAACAGACTTTATTAACTGTTCAAAACATAAGCCACAATGTACAAAAGAAAAAGAGAGACAGAAGAGGCTATAATGCCAAGGAAAGATGAAGCAATATGTAAATGTGTGAGAGAACACAATGCAGCTCTAAAGGGAGCCTTGAAATCAAGATAAAGAAAATTAATAGGGGAAGGACTCGATTACCTCACCTATTAGGGCTGGCGCCTTTCATGTACCAAGGCTGATTTTTGGTGCAGCCCATGGGTTTGAGGCTCTTGACTGCATGTCATGTGGCCCTTTACTGTATGTCATCCCCTCTCTCTCTCTCTCTCTCTCTCTCTCTCTCTTCCCCTTTCCTTTCACTCTTCAGCTGTTGTATCTAATAAAAACGCAGTCCCACAATAATCTCTGATTATGTGTTACAGAACCCAAATAAAATAGGGCAGAGCCTTCTGAAAGTGTTTGTCAGATGTCTGTATGAATGCTGTACAGAAGTTAGCGGTCTTGACATCTTTGCCTTGACCAGTTGGCAGTGTTCAGTACTATAAACTCTCTGCTGACTTTTTAGGATGGCAAAAGCAATAGCCAAGAATTGAAAACACACTGATAAAGTTTTGGAGTCGCTAAGAATATTGCTGAGTTCCTGGGAAGGTTCATATGGTGGAATATTGCCAAAAGTGTTGACAGCCCTGCAGAGAAATGCTGAAGAGGGTGAGAAAGTCTGTGGGCTCCTCCTACTTTATGCTTGTTAAATTCCCTTTGTGTGCATGTGTTTGTACAGGTGCATGTATCGCGTTCCTGTTTAAAATATTGTTTGCTGGATGACTGTCCTGGTATACTCCTATTTTTGGCATTTAATCATCTAGGTTTTAGTCTAGAATTTTTGACAGTATCAATTCTCCATTCATCCATTTCAGGTACCTACCCTATTTTTAGTCACCTTTTTGAGGGGTAGTCTATCTCATCAAGCATTAGGCAAAAAGCAGGGGAAGACTCTGGATCCTGGACAGTCTATTGAAGGGCTAACACATGGAAAGATTTTTAGCCCAAAGGGAAATTCAGATTCAGGATGATGGTTTTTTGACTGTCTATAGACTCAATGATGAAGATAGTGCAATATTAATAATCCAAAGGCCCATGGGCTGAAGTTAAGGGTATTGAGGTCAGGGTGGGGATGTAGCACATCCAACTTTCAAGATTACTGTCCTGTCACAGACACATTTGTGTATTGTTTAATCAGAACCAAAATCTTTACCTAACCCCAATTCTTTTTAAATGATGACATTGGACATTAAAAAAAAAACACAACATAATGTGGGTTTTGCAGATTTGTCACTAATTAACTTTGCAGTCCTCCAAACAATCATTGTTTTGCATATATATATATATATATATATATATATATATATATATATTTTTTTTTTTTTTTTTTTTACTTATACAGTATCAATTGACAATTGATGTAAGAAAATACAGATAGGTGGCCCCACTCCTGCAAAACATAGAAAAATAGATTATGATGATATATAATAGATGATTAATTATTGCTTTGGTACACTGTATCACTATACACACACATAACTATAAGACTCATCTTGAAATACGTGCAAGAAGATATTATTATTATTATTATATATATATGAATGTGTCCTAGATACATCCCCTGGGAGAATATTGTGTAGGTATTTGTAGTATTAGGCCTAATTAATGCTATTAGAAAGAACAAATTACTTCCATACAGTCTAATGTATAAAAGGGAAGGGGGTATCTATGGTGTGAAATGCAATCAATTCAATTGGTCACACTTTCATTCAGAGCGTAGTCTATACAGGTACACTGAACCTTACTTAGGTGCTGATTTAACAGTTTTACAGACTGAGGAACAAAAGAGAGTCGCAGTACTCTTGGTCTAACCTGTGGGACTCTAAATTTTTTGTATGATGGTAAAAGCTGATATTCTTCAAATAAACTATGAGAGGGGTGTGGTGTAATATTACCAGCCAAAGAAGCCAAAGAAATAGGTTGGCACACAGGCATGGATTTAAAGTTATTCCCTCTCAGGAACATAGGAGTTATTTTCCAAACTTATATTATATGTGAAAATGTCTATATCAGAGGCCTGGGACAATACATGACACAAAATGATATTGTTCACTAACTTAGTCATCACCCTAAAGTAACTGCACCAGTAACCCCGGTAAACAGTTCTGGTCTGAGCAGTTGGGGTGTGTCACATTTACAGGTATCAAGAAGGTGGTGCCATAGTGGAATGCTGACAGGTGTATTCAGTGCTGATGAGCAGGTTTTTTTTTATGAACTGGTGTCATGGTATTGCCTCTCTGTGCTGTTTAAAATCTTTGTCAAAATAACTAATGCTGGAAACATGTACATTTAAAAAAAACTAACAGTGGCATGGGGCCAAGTGTGAGAGGGAGTACCTTTCGTCTTGAAAAGGATAATAGTTTGAAGTTTTACTTAAAATAAAGTATAAATATGTTTTATCTGACACATTGCTCAAACAAATAACAGAAATGTGATGAAATGTTTATTTTGTGTTTCCACCCATATCTGCTTAAAGTCATTTTGTCTATTTGAATGAACTCTGTTATAGTCACATTGTTGTGATAAATGTAAGATATCAAAATGTTCACTAATGTTTGTGTGCTCAGGTAGGACATGTGCTGTCATAAACTTCTAACCTTTTTTTTTTTTCACAGTTACATATATGACAGCCGACAATGCTCCCTGTAGACAAAGACATTTATACACAGTACGTGCAGCAAGCCTCTGAAACTCATCATCCTGGTTGTACCAGTATGTTTTGTGCCATTTAAGCAACATGGCCTTGGGGAAGATATCTTCTTCTGTAGGGTTTCTCAGAGTTGTTCTGGAGGCAGGGATAACTGATTTGCTGAGTTATGTTTCAATGAATGAATCACTAAAGAAAAAGTTGAAGCCCGGTGAAAACAGGGCAGGGTAAGGGATAATCAGTGCAAGTCAATTCATTACTTGCCTTTCACTTAACAGGTTAATTTTAAAAGCCACTCACCCAATTCTCAATATTACATTACATGTGTAAGTTGGAAGAAAACAGGCTGGAAGCCCTGAAAAACATTAGGTGGCAGTTGTTAATTTAAAGGCACACTATGCAAGATTTTTACCTTATACTGATTTTACCTTATATATAACAGCTTCAAAGTCATTCGATGGTAAACGAACTTGTAGTATAGCGAATCATCCTGATAGCAAAGCTGGAGAGGGATGCCGTTGGCAGAATCAGCAATGCAAGTCTGAAAGGTGGCGTCCCACCAAATCTCGCGAGAATCAGGAATTGCTTTATGGCGCGAAGTCACATACATCAGCGACATAAGAAGCAGCCTCAATGGAAGACACAAGCAGGCTTTCACTCAGACGTTACCTGGTCAGTAGACATCTTCGGAGTCTATCTTTGCCTGTTCGATGTCTGACGCTTCCATCCTTCTGAACATGTACCGGTACACAGGGGGGAGGGGATCAGGCCGTGAGTGCACAGACGCAGAGCCGTATATAGAGATGGCTCTGGTGAGTGGTATTTACGACAGTTAACGTTAAATACAAGTACTCCGCAGCGATTCTAGGGGTAGCTGTTTGACAAAACCGGAAAACTGCATAGTATGCCTTTAAAGCAGCAAGCAAGTGCAAGCCAGTGTAGACATCTGCATTGATTAAAAATGAAGCATATGTTGGCTGTCAGACGGACAGTGGACACTAAAGATGCTGGTTTAAGACCCAACAGTAAACTTAGGGGTTTTTTTTAGCCATGAAGGTGGTCTTTCCCAAACCTTAGTTATGACCACAATCTTGTAGTTGTCTAAACTTAACTATTACTTAACAATTTCAGATCAGTTGCTGCTCATATGACTCATCATATTGGTTGTTTTGAAGGGCACAAATGATCTATTTTATCATTTAGAAATAATTTTCATTTCCATATGCAACAATAGTGATATAATATTGATCATCTTTAAAATACTTTTTTGTATTGTCTAATGTTATGTGTTTATGTAATTATAAAATTGAATGACAAAGTTTTAAACTGGACTGATTTAATCTAAATGGAATTTCCACCTCCTTTCTGAGAACATTCTGAGCATTGTGCACATGCTTTTGTTTCAGCTTCATTTCTGAAGTTCAACTGTGATTTGTTTGCCCCACCCAGAGTATACCTGCTACACCTCTGATCACAATCCTCACTTTTCTCTGACAGAGCAAAGGAGATAGAGAGGTGAGCTTAACCTGTTGAACATCTTTCTATGGCTTATGTCTAACATACTCTGCTATTAATGTTCATCCCTTGCCTAAAATTGCTAAGCTGAAATAAAATAGTCCAATCTCATATTCTCTTTGGTAAAACAATTAATTATAAAAAACCTATAAGAGTGAAAGGTAAATTTAACAGTGTCAGTTTTGTCATTGCATGTTCTTGACTTGACTGAGCATAAGAGGTGCAATCATTGTTTGTAAAATATAGATTGTCTGATATATCTATGATATTACAGAACTACAGTGATGTGTGTTTGTGTACGTTTCCTTTTTCCTAGTATTCTTTTTCTATTAAAATTACAATAAATAAATTGAAGATCACTTGAGGTGGACAAATGAAAAGGTGAGCAGAACACCATGCTCACAATGGGTGGCCCTAGGACTTTAGTACAAGTTCTGCTACTGTCAGCTATCGGAGTCGGTAAGTGTGCCTTTTTTTTATTGAACTCTTCCAAAATTCAGAAGAAGAAGAATCATTCACTTTTTCTCCAGTACACAAGAAATATATTTCAATTGTGTATTGTCTTTCATTCCCTCAGTGTGTATATCAACACTGGTCTCTGCAATTGTAAGTCTATTTACTTTTATTATGACATTAAATGTAAATTTACTAATGTAATAGTCTTAAATCTCTCATCTGTACAAAAAACTGACAAAAATATGCTTTAATTATGTATTTTAGACAAATACAACATCAGGTAAGGAGAAACCTTCATTTACTCAACTTAATTAATACTTAATTGTGAAATCAAGTGTGTATTCATACTATTATTAATCATCTGTAATTGTTTATATTTCGATATTTTGATATATAGGACCAGGTTCAGTAACATACGAAAACAGGTCAGTATGCATATTTCTAATGCTGTTTGCAAAACTGTTTATTTAACGTTTAACATTTAACATAAAACATTCACAGACCAATGTTCACGAGGAATATCATTTAAATTCTAATTTACTTTAATGTTCAGTGTAATGTAAATTTTTGTTTTACCATTTTATTTTTTTCTACAAGCAATGTTTCCACCCCCAGCAATGGTTTCCAGGAAACTTGCCATCCTGTAAATCTAAAAGATGCCAGTCACAGAGTAAGTCAGAAATCATGTTAGTAGTCAATTCAAAATGGCCCATTAACCCAACTTATGGAAGTCACCTCCAAGCAGTGCTGATAAATTATGACCCCTTGTGTTCAGTTGCTGACATTAACCCATGCCAATCAACTTCCTATTTTGCTGTATATCACAAAGGCATCTGTCTGTGTTGTCACCAGATCTCTGCTGCAGTGGACACACTGGCAGGGGAGCTATCCTGTAAAAGGGGTAGAAATGAGAGCTTTCCAGAAGACAAATTCAAGGAGTTGGAACAAAACCTCAGACAAATTGTGGAGTCAACTTTAAAAGTCTTCTTTGACCTGGTATATAAGCTACTTTTCTTTTTTTCCCCCACACATATACATGCAACATGTATTTTGTTAGCGAACTAAAAAAAGAAAATTGTCAAAATAGTAAAATAAATTCAAATTATAAGATGACTAAAGCAGGGGCATGATCTAATGAATGTGGAGTGCAAAGGCCCATATTGTAAATATATATATGCATTTTGCATATTTCTCAGTTATTCATAATTAAAATATGAGCCTACCAAAAGTTCTTTAGATCAGTATGTAATCAAGCCTTTAACAGCAACATAAAATATGAATAACTTTGGTTAGATTTAGTGCCCTCTGAAGTACTACACAAAAATAAGAACTTTCAATAAATGTTATGATATGATATATATATACAGCTTTTTTCAATGGTTGATTGCAATTTTTTTTTGTAACAGAACACCAATCAGTCTGGATTCAACGTTCTGGATGTATTTGGTGTCTTGGACAGTCTAAGTTTGGGTAACCACAGTGACTCAAGATTCGTCAGACTGTGGTTTTCGCTAAAAATGGCCCCTCTTTTGCCCCATGTCGATGAAAACTTCCTGATCCAGCTGAGCAGTCAGAACTTCAGCTGCAGTTCTTTCCAAGAATTGTAAGTGAATTCAATTCCATCTTAGTGTGTAGTCTGCAAGCCTGTTATTCAATTATTAGTAAATTAATATATTTTTTGTTTATAAAATTGTGAAATCAATTGTTGTTTATGCAGGTAAATAACTATTTGTCGGAGTATATAAGATTTTAAATAATTTGTAAATTAAAGACATGTGTACATACAATCACATTCACCTTTTTTTGAATCCTGGTCCTGGGTTTATACATACAGTAGGTGTAAATATAATGTAATTTAAGTAGAGCTAAATAAACTGAGAAATATTTTGGCATGGTGCATGGACTCCAAAGTCCTGTGGAGCTCTGATGGTGGGAGCTGCTGGTGGAGTATCACCATGCTATCACATGATATACAGATGTCCATGCTGAATGAAAATACTCCTATTGTTGTATACATGCTTTTGTTCATGCTTGTTCCTGTGTGATGACCAATGATCTACATTTTTGTTGTTGTGAGAGAAAAAATAATATATTTTTTTAAAGGATTGAGGCTATGAGTGATGAACTGGAGAGTTCACAAGGAATGGAGAAGAGACTAATCTATTCACACTTCATTCAACTCTACCTTTCAAGAAAGAACTTGCCAGGTAAAAGGATGAGAGTATTCTAAATGAGTCAGAGACAATTAATTGAATGCTATAATATGAGGGACAAACTAAGAAGATCATAACAATGAAAATAAACTATTCAACTAACTACTATTATAATTGCATGCACATAATAAATCCTGATCAGCAATTACGAGTCCAATTTTACCTGGATTTGTTTTGTTTTTTAACTTTTAACATATTTAATTTTTTTCTCTTCACAGAGCCTGGATGCACACAAAATGTAAATGGAAGTGTAGAATGGCTGCAGAGAAACTTTGGAAATTTTTCAGTCTTTGCAAGTCTTCAGGATCTTAAAAGAATTAACAGCAATTTCTCTGCAGTGAGTAATATATTACTGTATGATTTCTGAAAATGAGAATAAAGTATATGTAAAAAAAACAACGAAAGTTTATTTTAATAAAAATAATGACAGGAGTGAAAAAAAAAATATTTTCATAGAAAATGGCATTGGAGCAACTCTCACCAAACCAGAAGGCTGAGCTGATGCTGGATCCAGACAGCGGCGCTCTCGAGGATGTGGCCATTGTAAGGGAGGTGTTTGCAAGCTTGACAGAGTCCCGTGATGTGGAGCAGCTCAATCAGTTTTTCCAGGCTTTTGCAAACATCAGCAAGCAGGTGAATGCTTAACTTTTAGATTGACACATTTTCTGCCAAACAGGCCATGTGACACTTGTCCTGGGCCAGATGAATTTTTGCTGGACCTAATAAGGAGCCATGGTTTGACTCAAAATGGTACATTTCAGGTATTCCTCCTAAAGGAATTACCAGCGATGAGACCTCAAGTCATGCCCCTGATGCACTGAAGTACAAAGATGTGTCCCCAAGCTTGCGCTCATTTCTACAATGATTTCAGACAATTAAAACGTCCCCCTGAACTCCAACATGAATCCTTTTATTTCCAGAGAAACATCACCTTCCTCAGAAATCCAGATGTACGAGACACCATGTTGAACCTGACCTTGACGGCCCTTGCTCCTGAATTTGAAGACTTTGAGCCTGAAGACTTTCAGCTGTGGTTCCAGGGCAATTTGGCTCCTGTGATGGCAAGCCTCCATCCTGGCAGCTTGGCGGTGATTCCCAGTAACATCAGCTGTGTATCCTACTCAGCTATGTAAGAGATCATCTTTCTGAAGTCCACAGTTAGACATTCTGGGGTTGCACAATGTCAAACGGTGGCTCCAGACAAGTCACAATGATTGTTTGTTCTCTTCCTTTAGACTCACCGGTCTTGAGCAAAGTTTGCAATCCCTGCCACTGGACCTTTCACAGGGTGTGAGATCAAGCAAAAAATCGCTCAAGGAGACATTTACACGTACGTGGCAAAAACGCTTTGCTGGCAAACTTTTTTAGCCGATTACCACTACTGTGATGATAACTGTATTGACCCATGCCCTTATTTCATATTTCTCTCAAACAGGTTGCTCAGTTCCAGATTCCTTCATGGTAAGTTAATTTCTCTGGACCTGTGTATTACATGGATCATTCAGCATTTGATCAAAATTTACAAGACACAAGTTTGGCACGTTTACGTCATTAAGGAGGCCACGTTAAGTTATTTTGAATTTAAATAGCTTTTGCCACTAGACTAACAATCATGTTTTGCTTGTCTCCAGTGCAAGGAGACCCCGGTTGATGGTAAGTCTGTAAAATGCCAGACATTTCATCTTTGATGACAAAATCGCATTCTGAAGCTACAATATCTCACACACCAATGTTGTCTTTTCACAGAGGACCTCATCTGTGCTGCAAGTGACAGGTAGGTGAATTACTGTTTTGTCCGGTGCTGAGTTTGCGTAGGTAAAGTTCTTTTACACAATCTAACTAAGGTGACCACGGTTTTGTTTTTCTATTGTTTTCCTCAGATCACAGCTCGAACACGCCCTGTCTTCAGGCAATTACTCTGAAGCCCTGTGCAATTTTACCATCACTGAGCATGCCTGTTCCTCGGTAAGGTTGTTTTCTCTGAGCTGTGAATCCCAGAGAAAGATTTGGCTTTTGCGACATTACCATCGTGAGACAAACCTCCATGATCCCTGACAGTCTTTGCTTCATTTTCTTGTCAATTTTTTTTTCCAAGGCTGCACATCTTACACCCAGCAACTTGGCCACACTGCTGAAATGCTCACTGGAAAGCCAAAGGACATACCCGGTAGAGGTCTGGAAGCTTTTCTTCCAAAAAGCTTCCACTGACCTAGACCAGGCTCTTGCGACATTGGCCACCATGGTAAATCCAATCTCGCAATTTGGCAAAATTGGTGTTTCCCTGTGTGAATTCTGCGCCGAACCAAAATGATTTGTCCAATTCTAGGCCCCCAACAACAGCAGCCCATCCTTGTCAAATGCTCTTGAGGCCCTTGGAGAGGTGAGAATTGCCAACTTCAGCCAGGCGCAGCTGCAGAGTGATGGCTTTGTCAGCGACTGGTTCGGGACAAAGATTCGTCCGTTTTTGGCCTCTCCATCCCCCAACTTCCTGTTCTGCCTTACGACCAAGAACTTCAGCTGCCATACGTACCAGACTGTGTAAGCAAATATGCGATATATTGCTCCACTGTGAACAAGATTGCAGGGGAACCTGCAGTTTTCCAGTTGTTAAGATGTTAAAAGGCTTCTCTCAAATTTTAGCATCCAGGCATTCAGCAGCCAAAGGCCATCCATGGACAGAGAAAGACAGCAAGCAGTCTTCACTCATTTCATCAAACCATTCCTTTCAAGAAATGACTCATCAGGTAAAGGCTGGCACTCAGGCTCAATTTGGTAAAGGTCTGATAACATGTGGTGGTAATACCCCGTCACTGTCTTTGCTTGTGTCTTCTTCGCAGATCCTGGCTGTGTCTCATTGATCAGAGGTAGTAAAGAGTGGCTAGAGGGAAACTTCGGCAACTTCTCGGAATTTGCAACCCTGCAGGATTTGCAAGCCCTCAATCCCAACTTCTCCAGTGTAAGTGGTGACTGCAGTTGTAGTATTCTTCTCTCAAACTGACATGTCTCACCTATGGTTTTGCAATTACTGCTTTTTAATTTCATATTGATTCCCTCTGGTAGGCCGAAGCGTTGTCAGTGCTCACTCCTACTCAGATGGCACAGCTGACACTGAGCTCAGGTGCCGCGAATGACACAGACCAAATTGACCGTGTGTTTGAGCGACTTGAGGAGGGCAATGCTCTGGAAAATGTGGATGAATTCCTGACACAGCTGACAGCAGATGGAGAGGTAGGCTACTCTTGACACCGGGGGAAGAAGGACAATCTTGGGCTTTTAAACGAGCACACTCTGTACTTAGATATGTATCTAAACATTTACATCAGTTGTAGGGGACTCATTCATATCAAATTATTTGTTACATTCTTTCTGTCCTCCTGTATGGTGTACTTGCAACATGTAAACTTGTGTGGTATTTAAATCCTCCTGTGTTGTAATTTGACAGGTCCCTGATTTCCAACCTGCTGTGAGAGATCGCATGATGAATAGGACCTTTACCATCGTCAGTCCCCATTTCCCGAGCTTCACGGATCGCGACTGGTTTGTTTGGTTCCACCTGAAACTGGTTGCTATCCTGCCAAGTTTCAATCCAGAGATGCTCAAGAATGCAACCTCAAACATTAACTGCACAAACTACCATGTCGTGTGAGTAGCATTTAACAAACAAGCAAGATCCAGTGGACCAAAGTAGAAAACGCTGACTGTGTAAGAATGCTGTTTTTTTTTCTTTTTCTTTTTTGGCTCTTTGCAGCGTGAGGGGGATGGCCAAAGCATTCCCTGCAATGAAGTCGGGTCGACGAGAAGGAATCGCAGAGGTTCTACTGGGCTACCTGAGAAAATCTGCCAGTGTCATCAACGAGCCAGGTAGGGCTGACGCAGTGAACTGCGCCACGTGGTTGCTTGTGTGGACGTGGACTTGTGAAAGAATTGGCTGAAATGGCACTGAGAGGAAAACTGGCACTTGACTTGTTCCATGTGCATCAAGGAAAAATAATGCTTGTTAAATGTTACATGTGCTAACGTCCATCTACGTGCCTTAGTTTGCAGGCAAGTAATTCAGAGTGATGCCGAATGGCTTGAAGCAAACCTTGGCCCATTTTCCCAATACACAACATACTCTGACCTCAAAGTCTTCAACCTGTCTGAAGTAAGTCATACATTTCACTTCCAATCTTCCTTGAAAACAGCAGCACAATATTCAGAACTCGGGAAGTCTACAGACAGGGGTGGTTTTGTCCTGGCAAAGAGAAAAGCAATTCATACGTCCTCTTTCTTCGTGTCGTCAGGTGGCAGTTGTGGGCTCCCTCTCACCAAACCAGAAGGCTGAGCTGATGCTGGATCCAGACAGCGGCGCTCTCGAGGATGTGGCCATCGTAAGGGAGGTGTTTGCAAGCTTGACAGAGTCCCGTGATGTGGAGCAGCTAAATCAGTTTTTCCAGGCTTTTGCAAACATCAGCAAGCAGGTGAATGCTTAACTTTTAGATTGACACATTTTCTGCCAAACAGGCCATGTGACACTTGTCCTGGGCCAGATGAATTTTTGCAGGAGCTAATAAGGAGCCATGGTTTGACTCAAAATGGTACATTCAGGTATTCCTCCTAAAGGAATTACCAGCAACGAGACCTCGAGTCATGCCCCTGATGCACTGAAGTACAAAGATGTGTCCCCAAGCTTGCCCTCATTTCTACAATGATTTCAGACAATTAAAACTTCCCCCTGAACTCCAACATGAATCCTTTTATTTCCAGAGAAACATCACCTTCCTCAGAAATCCAGATGTACGAGACACCATGTTGAACCTGACCTTGACGGCCCTTGCTCCTGAATTTGAAGACTTTGAGCCTGAAGACTTTCAGCTGTGGTTCCAGGGCAATTTGGCTCCTGTGATGGCAAGCCTCCATCCTGGCAGCTTGGCGGTGATTCCCAGTAACATCAGCTGTGTATCCTACTCAGCTATGTAAGAGATCATCTTTCTGAAGTCCACAGTTAGACATTCTGGGGTTGCACAATGTCAAACGGTGGCTCCAGACAAGTCACAATGATTGTTTGTTCTCTTCCTTTAGACTCACCGGTCTTGAGCAAAGTTTGCAATCCCTGCCACTGGACCTTTCACAGGGTGTGAGATCAAGCAAAAAATCGCTCAAGGAGACATTTACACGTACGTGGCAAAAACGCTTTGCTGGCAAACTTTTTTAGCCGATTACCACTACTGTGATGATAACTGTATTGACCCATGCCCTTATTTCATATTTCTCTCAAACAGGTTGCTCAGTTCCAGATTCCTTCATGGTAAGTTAATTTCTCTGGACCTGTGTATTACATGGATCATTCAGCATTTGATCAAAATTTACAAGACACAAGTTTGGCACGTTTACGTCATTAAGGAGGCCACGTTAAGTTGTTTTGAATTTAAATAGCTTTTGCCACTAGACTAACAATCATGTTTTGCTTGTCTCCAGTGCAAGGAGACCCCGGTTGATGGTAAGTCTGTAAAATGCCAGACATTTCATCTTTGATGACAAAATCGCATTCTGAAGCTACAATATCTCACACACCAATGTTGTCTTTTCACAGAGGACCTCATCTGTGCTGCAAGTGACAGGTAGGTGAATTACTGTTTTGTCCGGTGCTGAGTTTGCGTAGGTAAAGTTCTTTTACACAATCTAACTAAGGTGACCACGGTTTTGTTTTTCTATTGTTTTCCTCAGATCACAGCTCGAACACGCCCTGTCTTCAGGCAATTACTCTGAAGCCCTGTGCAATTTTACCATCACTGAGCATGCCTGTTCCTCGGTAAGGTTGTTTTCTCTGAGCTGTGAATCCCAGAGAAAGATTTGGCTTTTGCGACATTACCATCGTGAGACAAACCTCCATGATCCCTGACAGTCTTTGCTTCATTTTCTTGTCAATTTTTTTTTCCAAGGCTGCACATCTTACACCCAGCAACTTGGCCACACTGCTGAAATGCTCACTGGAAAGCCAAAGGACATACCCGGTAGAGGTCTGGAAGCTTTTCTTCCAAAAAGCTTCCACTGACCTAGACCAGGCTCTTGCGACATTGGCCACCATGGTAAATCCAATCTCGCAATTTGGCAAAATTGGTGTTTCCCTGTGTGAATTCTGCGCCGAACCAAAATGATTTGTCCAATTCTAGGCCCCCAACAACAGCAGCCCATCCTTGTCAAATGCTCTTGAGGCCCTTGGAGAGGTGAGAATTGCCAACTTCAGCCAGGCGCAGCTGCAGAGTGATGGCTTTGTCAGCGACTGGTTCGGGACAAAGATTCGTCCGTTTTTGGCCTCTCCATCCCCCAACTTCCTGTTCTGCCTTACGACCAAGAACTTCAGCTGCCATACGTACCAGACTGTGTAAGCAAATATGCGATATATTGCTCCACTGTGAACAAGATTACAGGGGAACCTGCAGTTTTCCAGTTGTTAAGATGTTAAAAGGCTTCTCTCAAATTTTAGCATCCAGGCATTCAGCAGCCAAAGGCCATCCATGGACAGAGAAAGACAGCAAGCAGTCTTCACTCATTTCATCAAACCATTCCTTTCAAGAAATGACTCATCAGGTAAAGGCTGGCACTCAGGCTCAATTTGGTAAAGGTCTGATAACATGTGGTGGTAATACCCCGTCACTGTCTTTGCTTGTGTCTTCTTCGCAGATCCTGGCTGTGTCTCATTGATCAGAGGTAGTAAAGAGTGGCTAGAGGGAAACTTCGGCAACTTCTCGGAATTTGCAACCCTGCAGGATTTGCAAGCCCTCAATCCCAACTTCTCCAGTGTAAGTGGTGACTGCAGTTGTAGTATTCTTCTCTCAAACTGACATGTCTCACCTATGGTTTTGCAATTACTGCTTTTTAATTTCATATTGATTCCCTCTGGTAGGCCGAAGCGTTGTCAGTGCTCACTCCTACTCAGATGGCACAGCTGACACTGAGCTCAGGTGCCGCGAATGACACAGACCAAATTGACCGTGTGTTTGAGCGACTTGAGGAGGGCAATGCTCTGGAAAATGTGGATGAATTCCTGACACAGCTGACAGCAGATGGAGAGGTAGGCTACTCTTGACACCGGGGGAAGAAGGACAATCTTGGGCTTTTAAACGAGCACACTCTGTACTTAGATATGTATCTAAACATTTACATCAGTTGTAGGGGACTCATTCATATCAAATTATTTGTTACATTCTTTCTGTCCTCCTGTATGGTGTACTTGCAACATGTAAACTTGTGTGGTATTTAAATCCTCCTGTGTTGTAATTTGACAGGTCCCTGATTTCCAACCTGCTGTGAGAGATCGCATGATGAATAGGACCTTTACCATCGTCAGTCCCCATTTCCCGAGCTTCACGGATCGCGACTGGTTTGTTTGGTTCCACCTGAAACTGGTTGCTATCCTGCCAAGTTTCAATCCAGAGATGCTCAAGAATGCAACCTCAAACATTAACTGCACAAACTACCATGTCGTGTGAGTAGCATTTAACAAACAAGCAAGATCCAGTGGACCAAAGTAGAAAACGCTGACTGTGTAAGAATGCTGTTTTTTTTTCTTTTTCTTTTTGGCTCTTTGCAGCGTGAGGGGGGATGGCCAAAGCATTCCCTGCAATGAAGTCGGGTCGACGAGAAGGAATCGCAGAGGTTCTACTGGGCTACCTGAGAAAATCTGCCAGTGTCATCAACGAGCCAGGTAGGGCTGACGCAGTGAACTGCGCCACGTGGTTGCTTGTGTGGACGTGGACTTGTGAAAGAATTGGCTGAAATGGCACTGAGAGGAAAACTGGCACTTGACTTGTTCCATGTGCATCAAGGAAAAATAATGCTTGTTAAATGTTACATGTGCTAACGTCCATCTACGTGCCTTAGTTTGCAGGCAAGGAATTCAGAGTGATGCCGAATGGCTTGAAGCAAACCTTGGCCCATTTTCCCAATACACAACATACTCTGACCTCAAAGTCTTCAACCTGTCTGAAGTAAGTCATACATTTCACTTCCAATCTTCCTTGAAAACAGCAGCACAATATTCAGAACTCGGGAAGTCTACAGACAGGGGTGGTTTTGTCCTGGCAAAGAGAAAAGCAATTCATACGTCCTCTTTCTTCGTGTCGTCAGGTGGCAGTTGTGGGCTCCCTCTCACCAAACCAGAAGGCTGAGCTGATGCTGGATCCAGACAGCGGCGCTCTCGAGGATGTGGCCATCGTAAGGGAGGTGTTTGCAAGCTTGACAGAGTCCCGTGATGTGGAGCAGCTAAATCAGTTTTTCCAGGCTTTTGCAAACATCAGCAAGCAGGTGAATGCTTAACTTTTAGATTGACACATTTTATGCCAAACAGGCCATGTGACACTTGTCCTGGGCCAGATGAATTTTTGCAGGAGCTAATAAGGAGCCATGGTTTGACTCAAAATGGTACATTCAGGTATTCCTCCTAAAGGAATTACCAGCAACGAGACCTCGAGTCATGCCCCTGATGCACTGAAGTACAAAGATGTGTCCCCAAGCTTGCGCTCATTTCTACAATGATTTCAGACAATTAAAACGTCCCCCTGAACTCCAACATGAATCCTTTTATTTCCAGAGAAACATCACCTTCCTCAGAAATCCAGATGTACGAGACACCATGTTGAACCTGACCTTGACGGCCCTTGCTCCTGAATTTGAAGACTTTGAGCCTGAAGACTTTCAGCTGTGGTTCCAGGGCAATTTGGCTCCTGTGATGGCAAGCCTCCATCCTGGCAGCTTGGCGGTGATTCCCAGTAACATCAGCTGTGTATCCTACTCAGCTATGTAAGAGATCATCTTTCTGAAGTCCACAGTTAGACATTCTGGGGTTGCACAATGTCAAACGGTGGCTCCAGACAAGTCACAATGATTGTTTGTTCTCTTCCTTTAGACTCACCGGTCTTGAGCAAAGTTTGCAATCCCTGCCACTGGACCTTTCACAGGGTGTGAGATCAAGCAAAAAATCGCTCAAGGAGACATTTACACGTACGTGGCAAAAACGCTTTGCTGGCAAACTTTTTTAGCCGATTACCACTACTGTGATGATAACTGTATTGACCCATGCCCTTATTTCATATTTCTCTCAAACAGGTTGCTCAGTTCCAGATTCCTTCATGGTAAGTTAATTTCTCTGGACCTGTGTATTACATGGATCATTCAGCATTTGATCAAAATTTACAAGACACAAGTTTGGCACGTTTACGTCATTAAGGAGGCCACGTTAAGTTGTTTTGAATTTAAATAGCTTTTGCCACTAGACTAACAATCATGTTTTGCTTGTCTCCAGTGCAAGGAGACCCCGGTTGATGGTAAGTCTGTAAAATGCCAGACATTTCATCTTTGATGACAAAATCGCATTCTGAAGCTACAATATCTCACACACCAATGTTGTCTTTTCACAGAGGACCTCATCTGTGCTGCAAGTGACAGGTAGGTGAATTACTGTTTTGTCCGGTGCTGAGTTTGCGTAGGTAAAGTTCTTTTACACAATCTAACTAAGGTGACCACGGTTTTGTTTTTCTATTGTTTTCCTCAGATCACAGCTCGAACACGCCCTGTCTTCAGGCAATTACTCTGAAGCCCTGTGCAATTTTACCATCACTGAGCATGCCTGTTCCTCGGTAAGGTTGTTTTCTCTGAGCTGTGAATCCCAGAGAAAGATTTGGCTTTTGCGACATTACCATCGTGAGACAAACCTCCATGATCCCTGACAGTCTTTGCTTCATTTTCTTGTCAATTTTTTTTTCCAAGGCTGCACATCTTACACCCAGCAACTTGGCCACACTGCTGAAATGCTCACTGGAAAGCCAAAGGACATACCCGGTAGAGGTCTGGAAGCTTTTCTTCCAAAAAGCTTCCACTGACCTAGACCAGGCTCTTGCGACATTGGCCACCATGGTAAATCCAATCTCGCAATTTGGCAAAATTGGTGTTTCCCTGTGTGAATTCTGCGCCGAACCAAAATGATTTGTCCAATTCTAGGCCCCCAACAACAGCAGCCCATCCTTGTCAAATGCTCTTGAGGCCCTTGGAGAGGTGAGAATTGCCAACTTCAGCCAGGCGCAGCTGCAGAGTGATGGCTTTGTCAGCGACTGGTTCGGGACAAAGATTCGTCCGTTTTTGGCCTCTCCATCCCCCAACTTCCTGTTCTGCCTTACGACCAAGAACTTCAGCTGCCATACGTACCAGACTGTGTAAGCAAATATGCGATATATTGCTCCACTGTGAACAAGATTACAGGGGAACCTGCAGTTTTCCAGTTGTTAAGATGTTAAAAGGCTTCTCTCAAATTTTAGCATCCAGGCATTCAGCAGCCAAAGGCCATCCATGGACAGAGAAAGACAGCAAGCAGTCTTCACTCATTTCATCAAACCATTCCTTTCAAGAAATGACTCATCAGGTAAAGGCTGGCACTCAGGCTCAATTTGGTAAAGGTCTGATAACATGTGGTGGTAATACCCCGTCACTGTCTTTGCTTGTGTCTTCTTCGCAGATCCTGGCTGTGTCTCATTGATCAGAGGTAGTAAAGAGTGGCTAGAGGGAAACTTCGGCAACTTCTCGGAATTTGCAACCCTGCAGGATTTGCAAGCCCTCAATCCCAACTTCTCCAGTGTAAGTGGTGACTGCAGTTGTAGTATTCTTCTCTCAAACTGACATGTCTCACCTATGGTTTTGCAATTACTGCTTTTTAATTTCATATTGATTCCCTCTGGTAGGCCGAAGCGTTGTCAGTGCTCACTCCTACTCAGATGGCACAGCTGACACTGAGCTCAGGTGCCGCGAATGACACAGACCAAATTGACCGTGTGTTTGAGCGACTTGAGGAGGGCAATGCTCTGAAAAATGTGGATGAATTCCTGACACAGCTGACAGCAGATGGAGAGGTAGGCTACTCTTGACACCGGGGGAAGAAGGACAATCTTGGGCTTTTAAACGAGCACACTCTGTACTTAGATATGTATCTAAACATTTACATCAGTTGTAGGGGACTCATTCATATCAAATTATTTGTTACATTCTTTCTGTCCTCCTGTATGGTGTACTTGCAACATGTAAACTTGTGTGGTATTTAAATCCTCCTGTGTTGTAATTTGACAGGTCCCTGATTTCCAACCTGCTGTGAGAGATCGCATGATGAATAGGACCTTTACCATCGTCAGTCCCCATTTCCCGAGCTTCACGGATCGCGACTGGTTTGTTTGGTTCCACCTGAAACTGGTTGCTATCCTGCCAAGTTTCAATCCAGAGATGCTCAAGAATGCAACCTCAAACATTAACTGCACAAACTACCATGTCGTGTGAGTAGCATTTAACAAACAAGCAAGATCCAGTGGACCAAAGTAGAAAACGCTGACTGTGTAAGAATGCTGTTTTTTTTCTTTTTCTTTTTGGCTCTTTGCAGCGTGAGGGGGATGGCCAAAGCATTCCCTGCAATGAAGTCGGGTCGACGAGAAGGAATCGCAGAGGTTCTACTGGGCTACCTGAGAAAATCTGCCAGTGTCATCAACGAGCCAGGTAGGGCTGACGCAGTGAACTGCGCCACGTGGTTGCTTGTGTGGACGTGGACTTGTGAAAGAATTGGCTGAAATGGCACTGAGAGGAAAACTGGCACTTGACTTGTTCCATGTGCATCAAGGAAAAATAATGCTTGTTAAATGTTACATGTGCTAACGTCCATCTACGTGCCTTAGTTTGCAGGCAAGGAATTCAGAGTGATGCCGAATGGCTTGAAGCAAACCTTGGCCCATTTTCCCAATACACAACATACTCTGACCTCAAAGTCTTCAACCTGTCTGAAGTAAGTCATACATTTCACTTCCAATCTTCCTTGAAAACAGCAGCACAATATTCAGAACTCGGGAAGTCTACAGACAGGGGTGGTTTTGTCCTGGCAAAGAGAAAAGCAATTCATACGTCCTCTTTCTTCGTGTCGTCAGGTGGCAGTTGTGGGCTCCCTCTCACCAAACCAGAAGGCTGAGCTGATGCTGGATCCAGACAGCGGCGCTCTCGAGGATGTGGCCATCGTAAGGGAGGTGTTTGCAAGCTTGACAGAGTCCCGTGATGTGGAGCAGCTAAATCAGTTTTTCCAGGCTTTTGCAAACATCAGCAAGCAGGTGAATGCTTAACTTTTAGATTGACACATTTTCTGCCAAACAGGCCATGTGACACTTGTCCTGGGCCAGATGAATTTTTGCAGGAGCTAATAAGGAGCCATGGTTTGACTCAAAATGGTACATTCAGGTATTCCTCCTAAAGGAATTACCAGCAACGAGACCTCGAGTCATGCCCCTGATGCACTGAAGTACAAAGATGTGTCCCCAAGCTTGCGCTCATTTCTACAATGATTTCAGACAATTAAAACGTCCCCCTGAACTCCAACATGAATCCTTTTATTTCCAGAGAAACATCACCTTCCTCAGAAATCCAGATGTACGAGACACCATGTTGAACCTGACCTTGACGGCCCTTGCTCCTGAATTTGAAGACTTTGAGCCTGAAGACTTTCAGCTGTGGTTCCAGGGCAATTTGGCTCCTGTGATGGCAAGCCTCCATCCTGGCAGCTTGGCGGTGATTCCCAGTAACATCAGCTGTGTATCCTACTCAGCTATGTAAGAGATCATCTTTCTGAAGTCCACAGTTAGACATTCTGGGGTTGCACAATGTCAAACGGTGGCTCCAGACAAGTCACAATGATTGTTTGTTCTCTTCCTTTAGACTCACCGGTCTTGAGCAAAGTTTGCAATCCCTGCCACTGGACCTTTCACAGGGTGTGAGATCAAGCAAAAAATCGCTCAAGGAGACATTTACACGTACGTGGCAAAAACGCTTTGCTGGCAAACTTTTTTAGCCGATTACCACTACTGTGATGATAACTGTATTGACCCATGCCCTTATTTCATATTTCTCTCAAACAGGTTGCTCAGTTCCAGATTCCTTCATGGTAAGTTAATTTCTCTGGACCTGTGTATTACATGGATCATTCAGCATTTGATCAAAATTTACAAGACACAAGTTTGGCACGTTTACGTCATTAAGGAGGCCACGTTAAGTTATTTTGAATTTAAATAGCTTTTGCCACTAGACTAACAATCATGTTTTGCTTGTCTCCAGTGCAAGGAGACCCCGGTTGATGGTAAGTCTGTAAAATGCCAGACATTTCATCTTTGATGACAAAATCGCATTCTGAAGCTACAATATCTCACACACCAATGTTGTCTTTTCACAGAGGACCTCATCTGTGCTGCAAGTGACAGGTAGGTGAATTACTGTTTTGTCCGGTGCTGAGTTTGCGTAGGTAAAGTTCTTTTACACAATCTAACTAAGGTGACCACGGTTTTGTTTTTCTATTGTTTTCCTCAGATCACAGCTCGAACACGCCCTGTCTTCAGGCAATTACTCTGAAGCCCTGTGCAATTTTACCATCACTGAGCATGCCTGTTCCTCGGTAAGGTTGTTTTCTCTGAGCTGTGAATCCCAGAGAAAGATTTGGCTTTTGCGACATTACCATCGTGAGACAAACCTCCATGATCCCTGACAGTCTTTGCTTCATTTTCTTGTCAATTTTTTTTTCCAAGGCTGCACATCTTACACCCAGCAACTTGGCCACACTGCTGAAATGCTCACTGGAAAGCCAAAGGACATACCCGGTAGAGGTCTGGAAGCTTTTCTTCCAAAAAGCTTCCACTGACCTAGACCAGGCTCTTGCGACATTGGCCACCATGGTAAATCCAATCTCGCAATTTGGCAAAATTGGTGTTTCCCTGTGTGAATTCTGCGCCGAACCAAAATGATTTGTCCAATTCTAGGCCCCCAACAACAGCAGCCCATCCTTGTCAAATGCTCTTGAGGCCCTTGGAGAGGTGAGAATTGCCAACTTCAGCCAGGCGCAGCTGCAGAGTGATGGCTTTGTCAGCGACTGGTTCGGGACAAAGATTCGTCCGTTTTTGGCCTCTCCATCCCCCCAACTTCCTGTTCTGCCTTACGACCAAGAACTTCAGCTGCCATACGTACCAGACTGTGTAAGCAAATATGCGATATATTGCTCCACTGTGAACAAGATTGCAGGGGAACCTGCAGTTTTCCAGTTGTTAAGATGTTAAAAGGCTTCTCTCAAATTTTAGCATCCAGGCATTCAGCAGCCAAAGGCCATCCATGGACAGAGAAAGACAGCAAGCAGTCTTCACTCATTTCATCAAACCATTCCTTTCAAGAAATGACTCATCAGGTAAAGGCTGGCACTCAGGCTCAATTTGGTAAAGGTCTGATAACATGTGGTGGTAATACCCCGTCACTGTCTTTGCTTGTGTCTTCTTCGCAGATCCTGGCTGTGTCTCATTGATCAGAGGTAGTAAAGAGTGGCTAGAGGGAAACTTCGGCAACTTCTCGGAATTTGCAACCCTGCAGGATTTGCAAGCCCTCAATCCCAACTTCTCCAGTGTAAGTGGTGACTGCAGTTGTAGTATTCTTCTCTCAAACTGACATGTCTCACCTATGGTTTTGCAATTACTGCTTTTTAATTTCATATTGATTCCCTCTGGTAGGCCGAAGCGTTGTCAGTGCTCACTCCTACTCAGATGGCACAGCTGACACTGAGCTCAGGTGCCGCGAATGACACAGACCAAATTGACCGTGTGTTTGAGCGACTTGAGGAGGGCAATGCTCTGAAAAATGTGGATGAATTCCTGACACAGCTGACAGCAGATGGAGAGGTAGGCTACTCTTGACACCGGGGGAAGAAGGACAATCTTGGGCTTTTAAACGAGCACACTCTGTACTTAGATATGTATCTAAACATTTACATCAGTTGTAGGGGACTCATTCATATCAAATTATTTGTTACATTCTTTCTGTCCTCCTGTATGGTGTACTTGCAACATGTAAACTTGTGTGGTATTTAAATCCTCCTGTGTTGTAATTTGACAGGTCCCTGATTTCCAACCTGCTGTGAGAGATCGCATGATGAATAGGACCTTTACCATCGTCAGTCCCCATTTCCCGAGCTTCACGGATCGCGACTGGTTTGTTTGGTTCCACCTGAAACTGGTTGCTATCCTGCCAAGTTTCAATCCAGAGATGCTCAAGAATGCAACCTCAAACATTAACTGCACAAACTACCATGTCGTGTGAGTAGCATTTAACAAACAAGCAAGATCCAGTGGACCAAAGTAGAAAACGCTGACTGTGTAAGAATGCTGTTTTTTTTCTTTTTCTTTTTTGGCTCTTTGCAGCGTGAGGGGGATGGCCAAAGCATTCCCTGCAATGAAGTCGGGTCGACGAGAAGGAATCGCAGAGGTTCTACTGGGCTACCTGAGAAAATCTGCCAGTGTCATCAACGAGCCAGGTAGGGCTGACGCAGTGAACTGCGCCACGTGGTTGCTTGTGTGGACGTGGACTTGTGAAAGAATTGGCTGAAATGGCACTGAGAGGAAAACTGGCACTTGACTTGTTCCATGTGCATCAAGGAAAAATAATGCTTGTTAAATGTTACATGTGCTAACGTCCATCTACGTGCCTTAGTTTGCAGGCAAGGAATTCAGAGTGATGCCGAATGGCTTGAAGCAAACCTTGGCCCATTTTCCCAATACACAACATACTCTGACCTCAAAGTCTTCAACCTGTCTGAAGTAAGTCATACATTTCACTTCCAATCTTCCTTGAAAACAGCAGCACAATATTCAGAACTCGGGAAGTCTACAGACAGGGGTGGTTTTGTCCTGGCAAAGAGAAAAGCAATTCATACGTCCTCTTTCTTCGTGTCGTCAGGTGGCAGTTGTGGGCTCCCTCTCACCAAACCAGAAGGCTGAGCTGATGCTGGATCCAGACAGCGGCGCTCTCGAGGATGTGGCCATCGTAAGGGAGGTGTTTGCAAGCTTGACAGAGTCCCGTGATGTGGAGCAGCTAAATCAGTTTTTCCAGGCTTTTGCAAACATCAGCAAGCAGGTGAATGCTTAACTTTTAGATTGACACATTTTCTGCCAAACAGGCCATGTGACACTTGTCCTGGGCCAGATGAATTTTTGCAGGAGCTAATAAGGAGCCATGGTTTGACTCAAAATGGTACATTCAGGTATTCCTCCTAAAGGAATTACCAGCAACGAGACCTCGAGTCATGCCCCTGATGCACTGAAGTACAAAGATGTGTCCCCAAGCTTGCGCCCTCATTTCTACAATGATTTCAGACAATTAAAACGTCCCCCTGAACTCCAACATGAATCCTTTTATTTCCAGAGAAACATCACCTTCCTCAGAAATCCAGATGTACGAGACACCATGTTGAACCTGACCTTGACGGCCCTTGCTCCTGAATTTGAAGACTTTGAGCCTGAAGACTTTCAGCTGTGGTTCCAGGGCAATTTGGCTCCTGTGATGGCAAGCCTCCATCCTGGCAGCTTGGCGGTGATTCCCAGTAACATCAGCTGTGTATCCTACTCAGCTATGTAAGAGATCATCTTTCTGAAGTCCACAGTTAGACATTCTGGGGTTGCACAATGTCAAACGGTGGCTCCAGACAAGTCACAATGATTGTTTGTTCTCTTCCTTTAGACTCACCGGTCTTGAGCAAAGTTTGCAATCCCTGCCACTGGACCTTTCACAGGGTGTGAGATCAAGCAAAAAATCGCTCAAGGAGACATTTACACGTACGTGGCAAAAACGCTTTGCTGGCAAACTTTTTTAGCCGATTACCACTACTGTGATGATAACTGTATTGACCCATGCCCTTATTTCATATTTCTCTCAAACAGGTTGCTCAGTTCCAGATTCCTTCATGGTAAGTTAATTTCTCTGGACCTGTGTATTACATGGATCATTCAGCATTTGATCAAAATTTACAAGACACAAGTTTGGCACGTTTACGTCATTAAGGAGGCCACGTTAAGTTATTTTGAATTTAAATAGCTTTTGCCACTAGACTAACAATCATGTTTTGCTTGTCTCCAGTGCAAGGAGACCCCGGTTGATGGTAAGTCTGTAAAATGCCAGACATTTCATCTTTGATGACAAAATCGCATTCTGAAGCTACAATATCTCACACACCAATGTTGTCTTTTCACAGAGGACCTCATCTGTGCTGCAAGTGACAGGTAGGTGAATTACTGTTTTGTCCGGTGCTGAGTTTGCGTAGGTAAAGTTCTTTTACACAATCTAACTAAGGTGACCACGGTTTTGTTTTTCTATTGTTTTCCTCAGATCACAGCTCGAACACGCCCTGTCTTCAGGCAATTACTCTGAAGCCCTGTGCAATTTTACCATCACTGAGCATGCCTGTTCCTCGGTAAGGTTGTTTTCTCTGAGCTGTGAATCCCAGAGAAAGATCTGGCTTTTGCGACATTACCATCGTGAGACAAACCTCCATGATCCCTGACAGTCTTTGCTTCATTTTCTTGTCAATTTTTTTTCCAAGGCTGCACATCTTACACCCAGCATCTTGGCCACACTGCTGAAATGCTCACTGGAAAGCCAAAGGACATACCCGGTAGAGGTCTGGAAGCTTTTCTTCCAAAAAGCTTCCACTGACCTAGACCAGGCTCTTGCGACATTGGCCACCATGGTAAATCCAATCTCGCAATTTGGCAAAATTGGTGTTTCCCTGTGTGAATTCTGCGCCGAACCAAAATGATTTGTCCAATTCTAGGCCCCCAACAACAGCAGCCCATCCTTGTCAAATGCTCTTGAGGCCCTTGGAGAGGTGAGAATTGCCAACTTCAGCCAGGCGCAGCTGCAGAGTGATGGCTTTGTCAGCGACTGGTTCGGGACAAAGATTCGTCCGTTTTTGGCCTCTCCATCCCCCAACTTCCTGTTCTGCCTTACGACCAAGAACTTCAGCTGCCATACGTACCAGACTGTGTAAGCAAATATGCGATATATTGCTCCACTGTGAACAAGATTGCAGGGGAACCTGCAGTTTTCCAGTTGTTAAGATGTTAAAAGGCTTCTCTCAAATTTTAGCATCCAGGCATTCAGCAGCCAAAGGCCATCCATGGACAGAGAAAGACAGCAAGCAGTCTTCACTCATTTCATCAAACCATTCCTTTCAAGAAATGACTCATCAGGTAAAGGCTGGCACTCAGGCTCAATTTGGTAAAGGTCTGATAACATGTGGTGGTAATACCCCGTCACTGTCTTTGCTTGTGTCTTCTTCGCAGATCCTGGCTGTGTCTCATTGATCAGAGGTAGTAAAGAGTGGCTAGAGGGAAACTTCGGCAACTTCTCGGAATTTGCAACCCTGCAGGATTTGCAAGCCCTCAATCCCAACTTCTCCAGTGTAAGTGGTGACTGCAGTTGTAGTATTCTTCTCTCAAACTGACATGTCTCACCTATGGTTTTGCAATTACTGCTTTTTAATTTCATATTGATTCCCTCTGGTAGGCCGAAGCGTTGTCAGTGCTCACTCCTACTCAGATGGCACAGCTGACACTGAGCTCAGGTGCCGCGAATGACACAGACCAAATTGACCGTGTGTTTGAGCGACTTGAGGAGGGCAATGCTCTGGAAAATGTGGATGAATTCCTGACACAGCTGACAGCAGATGGAGAGGTAGGCTACTCTTGACACCGGGGGAAGAAGGACAATCTTGGGCTTTTAAACGAGCACACTCTGTACTTAGATATGTATCTAAACATTTACATCAGTTGTAGGGGACTCATTCATATCAAATTATTTGTTACATTCTTTCTGTCCTCCTGTATGGTGTACTTGCAACATGTAAACTTGTGTGGTATTTAAATCCTCCTGTGTTGTAATTTGACAGGTCCCTGATTTCCAACCTGCTGTGAGAGATCGCATGATGAATAGGACCTTTACCATCGTCAGTCCCCATTTCCCGAGCTTCACGGATCGCGACTGGTTTGTTTGGTTCCACCTGAAACTGGTTGCTATCCTGCCAAGTTTCAATCCAGAGATGCTCAAGAATGCAACCTCAAACATTAACTGCACAAACTACCATGTCGTGTGAGTAGCATTTAACAAACAAGCAAGATCCAGTGGACCAAAGTAGAAAACGCTGACTGTGTAAGAATGCTGTTTTTTTTCTTTTTCTTTTTTGGCTCTTTGCAGCGTGAGGGGGGATGGCCAAAGCATTCCCTGCAATGAAGTCGGGTCGACGAGAAGGAATCGCAGAGGTTCTACTGGGCTACCTGAGAAAATCTGCCAGTGTCATCAACGAGCCAGGTAGGGCTGACGCAGTGAACTGCGCCACGTGGTTGCTTGTGTGGACGTGGACTTGTGAAAGAATTGGCTGAAATGGCACTGAGAGGAAAACTGGCACTTGACTTGTTCCATGTGCATCAAGGAAAAATAATGCTTGTTAAATGTTACATGTGCTAACGTCCATCTACGTGCCTTAGTTTGCAGGCAAGGAATTCAGAGTGATGCCGAATGGCTTGAAGCAAACCTTGGCCCATTTTCCCAATACACAACATACTCTGACCTCAAAGTCTTCAACCTGTCTGAAGTAAGTCATACATTTCACTTCCAATCTTCCTTGAAAACAGCAGCACAATATTCAGAACTCGGGAAGTCTACAGACAGGGGTGGTTTTGTCCTGGCAAAGAGAAAAGCAATTCATACGTCCTCTTTCTTCGTGTCGTCAGGTGGCAGTTGTGGGCTCCCTCTCACCAAACCAGAAGGCTGAGCTGATGCTGGATCCAGACAGCGGCGCTCTCGAGGATGTGGCCATCGTAAGGGAGGTGTTTGCAAGCTTGACAGAGTCCCGTGATGTGGAGCAGCTAAATCAGTTTTTCCAGGCTTTTGCAAACATCAGCAAGCAGGTGAATGCTTAACTTTTAGATTGACACATTTTCTGCCAAACAGGCCATGTGACACTTGTCCTGGGCCAGATGAATTTTTGCAGGAGCTAATAAGGAGCCATGGTTTGACTCAAAATGGTACATTCAGGTATTCCTCCTAAAGGAATTACCAGCAACGAGACCTCGAGTCATGCCCCTGATGCACTGAAGTACAAAGATGTGTCCCCAAGCTTGCGCTCATTTCTACAATGATTTCAGACAATTAAAACGTCCCCCTGAACTCCAACATGAATCCTTTTATTTCCAGAGAAACATCACCTTCCTCAGAAATCCAGATGTACGAGACACCATGTTGAACCTGACCTTGACGGCCCTTGCTCCTGAATTTGAAGACTTTGAGCCTGAAGACTTTCAGCTGTGGTTCCAGGGCAATTTGGCTCCTGTGATGGCAAGCCTCCATCCTGGCAGCTTGGCGGTGATTCCCAGTAACATCAGCTGTGTATCCTACTCAGCTATGTAAGAGATCATCTTTCTGAAGTCCACAGTTAGACATTCTGGGGTTGCACAATGTCAAACGGTGGCTCCAGACAAGTCACAATGATTGTTTGTTCTCTTCCTTTAGACTCACCGGTCTTGAGCAAAGTTTGCAATCCCTGCCACTGGACCTTTCACAGGGTGTGAGATCAAGCAAAAAATCGCTCAAGGAGACATTTACACGTACGTGGCAAAAACGCTTTGCTGGCAAACTTTTTTAGCCGATTACCACTACTGTGATGATAACTGTATTGACCCATGCCCTTATTTCATATTTCTCTCAAACAGGTTGCTCAGTTCCAGATTCCTTCATGGTAAGTTAATTTCTCTGGACCTGTGTATTACATGGATCATTCAGCATTTGATCAAAATTTACAAGACACAAGTTTGGCACGTTTACGTCATTAAGGAGGCCACGTTAAGTTATTTTGAATTTAAATAGCTTTTGCCACTAGACTAACAATCATGTTTTGCTTGTCTCCAGTGCAAGGAGACCCCGGTTGATGGTAAGTCTGTAAAATGCCAGACATTTCATCTTTGATGACAAAATCGCATTCTGAAGCTACAATATCTCACACACCAATGTTGTCTTTTCACAGAGGACCTCATCTGTGCTGCAAGTGACAGGTAGGTGAATTACTGTTTTGTCCGGTGCTGAGTTTGCGTAGGTAAAGTTCTTTTACACAATCTAACTAAGGTGACCACGGTTTTGTTTTTCTATTGTTTTCCTCAGATCACAGCTCGAACACGCCCTGTCTTCAGGCAATTACTCTGAAGCCCTGTGCAATTTTACCATCACTGAGCATGCCTGTTCCTCGGTAAGGTTGTTTTCTCTGAGCTGTGAATCCCAGAGAAAGATTTGGCTTTTGCGACATTACCATCGTGAGACAAACCTCCATGATCTCTGACAGTCTTTGCTTCATTTTCTTGTCAATTTTTTTTTCCAAGGCTGCACATCTTACACCCAGCAACTTGGCCACACTGCTGAAATGCTCACTGGAAAGCCAAAGGACATACCCGGTAGAGGTCTGGAAGCTTTTCTTCCAAAAAGCTTCCACTGACCTAGACCAGGCTCTTGCGACATTGGCCACCATGGTAAATCCAATCTCGCAATTTGGCAAAATTGGTGTTTCCCTGTGTGAATTCTGCGCCGAACCAAAATGATTTGTCCAATTCTAGGCCCCCAACAACAGCAGCCCATCCTTGTCAAATGCTCTTGAGGCCCTTGGAGAGGTGAGAATTGCCAACTTCAGCCAGGCGCAGCTGCAGAGTGATGGCTTTGTCAGCGACTGGTTCGGGACAAAGATTCGTCCGTTTTTGGCCTCTCCATCCCCCAACTTCCTGTTCTGCCTTACGACCAAGAACTTCAGCTGCCATACGTACCAGACTGTGTAAGCAAATATGCGATATATTGCTCCACTGTGAACAAGATTGCAGGGGAACCTGCAGTTTTCCAGTTGTTAAGATGTTAAAAGGCTTCTCTCAAATTTTAGCATCCAGGCATTCAGCAGCCAAAGGCCATCCATGGACAGAGAAAGACAGCAAGCAGTCTTCACTCATTTCATCAAACCATTCCTTTCAAGAAATGACTCATCAGGTAAAGGCTGGCACTCAGGCTCAATTTGGTAAAGGTCTGATAACATGTGGTGGTAATACCCCGTCACTGTCTTTGCTTGTGTCTTCTTCGCAGATCCTGGCTGTGTCTCATTGATCAGAGGTAGTAAAGAGTGGCTAGAGGGAAACTTCGGCAACTTCTCGGAATTTGCAACCCTGCAGGATTTGCAAGCCCTCAATCCCAACTTCTCCAGTGTAAGTGGTGACTGCAGTTGTAGTATTCTTCTCTCAAACTGACATGTCTCACCTATGGTTTTGCAATTACTGCTTTTTAATTTCATATTGATTCCCTCTGGTAGGCCGAAGCGTTGTCAGTGCTCACTCCTACTCAGATGGCACAGCTGACACTGAGCTCAGGTGCCGCGAATGACACAGACCAAATTGACCGTGTGTTTGAGCGACTTGAGGAGGGCAATGCTCTGGAAAATGTGGATGAATTCCTGACACAGCTGACAGCAGATGGAGAGGTAGGCTACTCTTGACACCGGGGGAAGAAGGACAATCTTGGGCTTTTAAACGAGCACACTCTGTACTTAGATATGTATCTAAACATTTACATCAGTTGTAGGGGACTCATTCATATCAAATTATTTGTTACATTCTTTCTGTCCTCCTGTATGGTGTACTTGCAACATGTAAACTTGTGTGGTATTTAAATCCTCCTGTGTTGTAATTTGACAGGTCCCTGATTTCCAACCTGCTGTGAGAGATCGCATGATGAATAGGACCTTTACCATCGTCAGTCCCCATTTCCCGAGCTTCACGGATCGCGACTGGTTTGTTTGGTTCCACCTGAAACTGGTTGCTATCCTGCCAAGTTTCAATCCAGAGATGCTCAAGAATGCAACCTCAAACATTAACTGCACAAACTACCATGTCGTGTGAGTAGCATTTAACAAACAAGCAAGATCCAGTGGACCAAAGTAGAAAACGCTGACTGTGTAAGAATGCTGTTTTTTTTCTTTTTCTTTTTTGGCTCTTTGCAGCGTGAGGGGGGATGGCCAAAGCATTCCCTGCAATGAAGTCGGGTCGACGAGAAGGAATCGCAGAGGTTCTACTGGGCTACCTGAGAAAATCTGCCAGTGTCATCAACGAGCCAGGTAGGGCTGACGCAGTGAACTGCGCCACGTGGTTGCTTGTGTGGACGTGGACTTGTGAAAGAATTGGCTGAAATGGCACTGAGAGGAAAACTGGCAC